TGTATCAGAAACTTGAGCTGGTGTGGTTTATCCAAGGCAACTTTCTGAATTAGTACCCCAATAATCAAACCAAATCCAAAGTTGACCAAAAACTGATTCGTAATCATTTCGGTACTAACATTGGAGAGTGGTCCCTAGTCAAATTGGCCCCTGGTCAAGTGGTCCCTGGTCAAAAAAACATTGAGAACAACTGATATAATTAATGCATTTTGGCACTACCTTCACTGCCATGGCTCAATGCTTTGCAATCCCGGGAGCTGTAGTTTGGTGAAATGCCAGCACTCTTTGGCAGAGAAAGCTAAACACCGTGTAACATCACAATGCCCATGATTTCTTATTATTGAGCCATGAGAGTTGAGGTGCTGTTAAACCACATTAATTCTACAGTTAAAATGCCCAACTAGAGAACTAATCTAAACATTTTAAAGGAAAACAAGATTACAAGAGTAAATATAACTCCATGGATTATACAGCTGTGTGATAAAGGAAGAAGATAATATATAAAAAACTAGCTTTGCCCGCCACGCGTTGCTGTGGCCAACCTTCCTCTTTCTCTCCTCCTTTCTTTCTCTCCTTCCTTTCCTCCCTCTTTCCTTCCTTCCCTTTTTTTCTATAATTTTCTCTTTCCTTCTTCTTCTTCTTCCCTTCCTTCCCTTTTCTTTCCCTTCCTGTTTCTCCCCTTTGTTCCTTTTCTACCTATTCTTGGACTGCAACTCCCAGCAGTCTTTCTTATCAATCAATCTACCTAACTATCGGTATCTAACCTATCTATCTTATATGTCTGGAGGATTGCTGGGAGTTGCAGTCCAGGAATAGGAAATTGGAAATATGCAGGGATTGGGATGCTCTCAAAGAAATCCAAGGAGTAGAAAGCTTGCACTTGGAAGCAGTGCATTTGGATCATCCTCCTCTCCTAAAGTGCCTGGTCTAAGGGATGCTGGGAGCTGTAGTCCAGAAGAGAGTGTGGATATGCTTTTGTGTGTAGTTAGCCAGGGAAAGTTTTGTTTTTGCGCATGCACTGCAGCATGTTTCTTTGTTGCTTTTTTGGCCTTTTAAGTCCTTCTGTTGTTTTTCAGTGTTTTTAGGGGTGATGGTCACTCATTGGCCTGATAGATGTATTGCGTCCAAATTTGATGTCAATTTGTCCAGTAATTTTTGAGTTATGTTAATCCCACAAACGAACATTACATTTTTATTTATATAGATACATAGATATCTTGTGATTTTTTGGTCTTAATGTTGACACCTAAAAAAAACCCCTGTTTTAAATTTGCTGTAAAGTTTTAAAGTTTTATACCCTTGGCCTGTGACTATAACAATATTTTTTTTCCTTCTTACATAGACAGGAACATATATTATTCAATGGTTTGTGTAGACACAATGCCGATTCATTTACTAAACTTATTTAGCAGACTTCAGGCAAAACCTGCTAAGATACCATCTGGTTCAAAATATGGCTTTTGCATTTTTCAGGAACATATTTTTGGAGATAAAAGATGGAAGTAAACTTTAAATTCTATTATTTTTATACTATAAATATTTATTTTGATTATGTTGCAGGTGTCAATGAAGGAAGAAAACATGTCAACATGTGAAGACTAGGAAGGAGCTCCATCTCAGCCAAATAGTAACAAGATTAATACCTTTAAAGATCAAAATGATTTGGACAATAGAAGAGGGCCTACTGAAATCAGTAATACACGTTTGACTTTTTCTAAGCTCCATGTTATTAATATTTTATGCCTATCTCACCATACTTCAAAATTATAGCAGCAGGAAAAGGATTTTTTTAAATGACTGTGACTCTGAATATACATTCCCATGAAAAGACAGGTGCTTTTCTTAGTACAAGTAAGATACCTGAGAAGTGTCTCTCCCTAACTTGAAAAGATCTGCAAAAAATCCTTTTGAATTAAAACTGGCTGAGATCTCAGTTATACTTATAAATTGTACAATTTCTTTTGACAGTTAGCTGTTGACAGACATAGATAGCAGCACGACATGAGTGGGGATTTATATTTTAGATTTCAGAATGGTGAAGGAAACTATTCTTAGCAAGCTTCAAAGACCTGCTTTTGCATATATTCAAAATTAAATGGTGAAAAGAGGGAGACAACTTTGAGATCACTTCTTCTGATCATTTTGTTATATTGTTTAACAGAAATAGCAATGTTATAACTTCAGACAAACACTTACCCTTTAAAACTAAGAGCTTGTGCATTTTATTAGCAGAGATAATAAACATCCCCATTTGATTAAGAGACAATGTACAGAAGAACATGTCCCTGAGGCATACCTACAAGTGGATGTCCTTGTCCTTTTTAAATGGCACCTTCTGGAAATCATTCTTTTCAAACATCAAAGTTTCTCACTGCAATGAACTTACAGACCCAAACCTAGAAACAGGCATTACATGCACCTGCTTCTCTTTTTGTGAGAGGTTAACATACACTCCCCTCTCTTCTGGCAGCTATATATATATATATATATATTCGCTCTAAGAACTCAAAGCAAAAAGTTTCTAATTCTAACACCCATTGGGCTCAAAAGAGAATTAATACAACATTGCAACACAGATCAGCTCCAACTTAATTACAATAAAACCAAAATCATGGCTTTCGCTAATAGGCCCAGGACTTACTCTTGGAGCATAGATGGTCATAAAATTGAACAAGTTACATCCTTCAAATATCTAGGTGTAGTTTTCCAATCTAATGGTAGCAGAAGGGAGATCAAGTATCCTACACCGCGCAGGGGAGCTCAATAGCCATTCTTAAATATCTCAGGACAAGAGGGGGCCACTTCACACCGGCAGTGCTCAAGCTGTTTGAAGCCAAGTCATTAGCCCAACTCTTGTATGGTGCTCAGCTGGGCCCCTTCCCCAGTTCTGCCCCATTAGAGCTGGTTCAAAGTTTCTGAGATCGGCCTTGCAGGTCCCTAAATGCGTTTCTAACGCCAGCCTGCGACTAGAGACGGGCTTTATGAGAGTGGAGGCCAGGGTGTGGGTGGCCATACTCAACCTCTGGCTCAGACTATCCCGTGCACCCTTTGGTCTTGCCCCACTAACCATGAAGGATGACTTCCAATCCACATGGAAGCAGGCGGTAGCATCAAAAATCTCCTCATTGGGACTCGATATGGATTATAATCAAGCCAAAGCACTTATTAAACAACATATCACAGACACAGAGCGACAACTAGATCTGGCCTCGGTTCCAACCTTCCTTCCTTATCAATGAAGACAGCAGATATCTTGCCTCCCCTATGGCATATTTAACAAACTTAGAGGTTCCCATTCATCGAAGGGCTTTCACTCTGGCTCGATGCCACACTCTCCCATCAGCTGTACTCAAAGGCCGCTACGGGAAGAACCCTTTCCCAGAGAGACTCTGCCCCTGTGACTCGGGTCAGATAGAAACAATAGAACACGTGCTCCTTCAGTGCCCGTTCTACAGGGATATCCGTGCCAAGCTTATGTTACCTCTGATAGACAAGCACCCAGGCCATTCAGGACAATTTTATACCTCCCTGCTACTTGCAGATATTAATTCAGCTACAACCTACAATGTTGCAAAGTTCTGTGCAGCAACATACAAAATCCGTCAGGGAATGACTAGTCCCAAAAGTTAACTGTGTGTCCAGTAATCTTCTTCTCTGAATCTACAATTTGGTGATGGATCTGGGCATTGTATGTTTTTACCCTGTTTCCCCTTCCGCTCCCTCACCCATATTGTGCTTCAGTAGTTATATTTATATTTTTAATGTACCAAATATACCAAGTTTGTATGAAAATGTGACTATTTCCTGTGCTGGTCAATGACCGAAATAAATGATTTGATTGAATTCTGAAATAAAACTAAAACACATATATGGAGTGGGCTGGAGGTAGTGGTGGTGTCTGTATGTTATTCTGTCTGATTCCTCAGGTTTACGAATGAAGATTAATGTCCCACATAACATACATTTATTCTATTTGTAAATTGGCTACTTTTTAAAATAAAAGGAAAGTAATTTACAATGCAGGTGACAGATTGTTATAAATAGCTGAGGGTGCAAAAATGATGGTGCTGTAGATATATTTCATTTCCTTGTGAGTTTCAGACCATGTATTATGGCATGAATGAAGTCAGCTGTAAGATGAATAATATTTTCCAAGAGTCGCTTATGAATACTTGTATAAGCATTTAAGTGGCAGAAAAGTGAGGGGAAATGAATAAAACATGTAGACAATCTTTATGTTTACTGTGCAGGCTTACATCTGAGGAAGTAGATTCAGTCTACAAAAGCTTATGCTGCCCACTTCATGCTCTTCATTAGTATCTAAGGAGCTACAAGATCTCTTTGCATACCTTCTAGGCTTACATCACTATTAGCACCATTGATTTTAATTAATATCAAGTGTATGCTACCCTTTTAATTTTTCCCCCACTTTTCAAACTTGCTGTTGAGACTGAATAAGGAAATGAAATAGACTCCAGGCATGGATTTAATATTGAATATTCATCTGAAGCAAAATTCCTTCAAATAGAAAATAAGCACTATGGTCCTACAAATGAACTAAAACCTTTGTTCCCAATGTTTCACATTTTCAGGGATATCCATCTACCCAATCATCTTTTGATATTGGGATATGGTTTGCTAAATTGTATCTCCAGTGATAAAGTCCGCAATAACATCACAAGCTGCTGCCCTCCAACCTAGCTCTATTGTCAGGGAAAAAAGCTGAGACAAAAGGCAGAAGCAGAGTTTAGAGTGCGGTGTGACCAGCACCATTTTCATGGGAAATAAACGCTTAAATTATGAACTGAGCTTTAGTAATGTGCTAAATGCGGTGGTGGCGGCAACGGTGTGCGTGTGTGTGTGTGTGGGGGGGGGGGAGCAGAGATAATCTGTTTCAAAATTGCTCTCATCATTTCAACACAGTGGCACATATTTTAAAAAGAAAACAAAAACAATAAAGGAACAATATTCAAAGCTTCCAGTTTCAAAAAAGATCTTACCAGATGGGTCAAAGGTCACTTGATTGGCGGGATGTGGGCCAGCATCAATTGAGACCATTGGTAACCCTTTCCGAACATCCCACAGTTTCAAGACCCCATAAGAGTCACAGGAAACAATAGTATCACCCTGTAAAAGAAATGGGAAATGTTATTTGTAAAGACCTATCTGGAGAACTACTATTTTTCATTGATCTCCTTTGAACCTTAGGATTCCTCTTTAATAAATATACCCAAAGTGGCATTTTGGAATATTTATTTATTTTTCATTTATTTACAGCATTTATATTCCGCCCTTCTCACCCCGCAGGGGACTCAGGCCGGATTACAGTGTACACATATATGGCAAACATTCAATGCCAATTTTGACATACAACATATACAAGACATACACAGAGGCTATTTAGCTTTTTCTGGCCACCAGGGGAGCTGTCGCTATCATCGTCCATCTGCAACACTGATGAAGTACCTTCCACATTCCTCGCATGCTTCCCCGCTGGAGTTCTTCTTTATGGCCTCATAAATTAGTTAATTTTAGCCTCCCCACACTTTATAGGGGGTACCTTATTTTCCTACTTGACAGATGCAACTGTCTTTCGGGTTGCAAAGGTCGACAACAGGCTACACAATGGTTGGAAACCCACTCCAACCTGGGCTGGCTTCGAACTCATGACCTTTTTGGTCAGAGTGATCTTAATGCAGCTGACACTCAGCCAGCTGTGCCACAATCCTGGTGCCATATTAGGGGAATGTATTTCAGAACGAAATTAGGACTTTGTACAAATCTGTCATACTACCATAATTGGAACAAAAAAGAAAAGCAAGTGTTCCACATGCACAAAGAATTTAACTTAAGATTGATTTTTCAGGGTAGGGCTATTTGTCATTAGCAGAACGCAGGCTGGATCTACACTGCCATACAATGAAGTTTCAGAATGCAGATTAATTGCATTAAACTTCTTTTCACCAAGTCAGTCTGAGAAATTCTTTTCTACAGGTACTTAAGCGATCCCTCATTGGCCGAGTAGGATAGTCTTCCAAGATCAGTGTACTGATGGGTCCGTAGGCGACTGTGGAGCCCTATTCTTGATCTGCATCTTCTCCCGCAGTGAGGGCATCGGTTTCCAGGTGGAAAGCGGTCTCGATCGGGGTTGGCATGTTTCTCTCTTTCGCCCTCCATTTGTGTCTCTTCAAATTCTACAGCACTGCTGGTCACAGCTGACCTCCAGCTGGAGTACTCAAGGGCAAGGACTTCCCAGTTCTCAGTGTCTATGCCAGAGTTTTTAAGGTTGGCTTTGAACCCATTTTTAAATATCTTTTCCTGCCCACCAACATTCTGTTTTCCATTCTTGAGTTTGGAATACAGCAACTGCTTTGGGAGACGGTGGTCGGGCATTCGGACAATGTGGCTGGTTCAGTGGAGTTGATGGCGAAGGACCATTGCTTCAATGCTGGTGTTCTTTGCTTCTTCCAGCACACTGACGTTTGTCTGCCTGTCTTCCCAAGAGATTTGCAGGATTTTCTGGAGGCAGCGCTGATGGAATCGTTCCAGGAGTTAGATATGACTTCTGTAGAGAGTCCATGTCTCGCAGGCATATAGCAGGGTTGGGAGGACAATAGCTTTATAAGCAAGCACCTTGGTATCCCTATGGATGTCCTGGTCCTCAAACACTCTCTGCTTCATTTGGAAAAAAGCTGCATTCGCAGATCTCAGGCGATGTTGTATTTCAGTGTTAATTTTGACTTTTGTGTTTCTACAGGTATTTATTTATTTATTATTCAAACTTATATGCCGCCACTCCCCTGGGGCTCGGAGCGGCTTACAAGAACAGGCTAAAATCTAACACAATTTAAAAACAATTTAAAACAATTTTAAAACAGCAATATCAAAGATCAAAGGCCTGTCGAAACAGATATGTCTTGCATGCCCTGCGGAAAGCTGATAAGTCCCGCAAGGCACGGACTTCAGGTGGCAGAGTATTCCAGAGTGATGGTTCCACTGCTGTAAAGGCTCTGCGTCTGGTCGCTGTTAGATGCAAGGTCTTGACACTGGGAATTTCCAACAAATCTTGGTCTTCAGAACGGAGGGATCTCTGGGGTTGGTAGGGGGTGAGGTGGTCTCTCAGGTACATCGGCCCCAGACCATGCAAGGCCTTAAAGGTGAGTATCATCACTTTGAAAGTGATCCGGTGTTCAATTGGTAACCAATGCAGCTGTAGTAAGATTGGTGTTATGTGGCATCTCATCGGAATTCCCGCAAGAAGCCGAGCAGTTGCATTTTGTACCAACTTGAGCTTCCGGATCACTGACAGAGGAAGGCCAATGTAGAGGGTGTTACAGTAGTCCACTCTTGAAATGACCGTAGCCTGGATCACCGTAGCTAGGTTGTCCCTGGACAGGTAGAGGGCCAGCCGTCTAGGCTGCCACAGATGAAAAAAGGCGGTTCTGCTAACGGCGGAGACCTGGGCCTCCATCGTATCTACTGTGAATTACTGAGGTTCATTATCCTAGCATATTGCTAACAATCAGCATAGTACAGCTGAAAGAAGAAGGAAAATATTGCCTTTTTCTAACACTATGCACCTCTCCCATTGTTTATTCAGTCCCACCTGGTAAATGGATGAGGCAGTGTATTTTGGGACTAGTAAGAAGGTCTTCTGAAAGACAGGAGGAATAAACATAGAGAAGTCACAGCAGGCTCAAAGTGTGGTCTGAGCTGAGCAGGATTTGGCAGATCTCGAAAGCCTCTCTCTTTTCTGAGGTGTGTTTTTGAATTCCTGAGTTTCATTTCTGATCCATGCTCAGCTGAGCTTTGTCAGTAGCACCACATCAGAAGAAGTGACATTTTAAATCACTTTACTATTAAACAAGTTTACTTTGTAGCAATATAGGCAGGGATATAAAAAGCTATTTTAAGCACATCCAATGGCTCAGGTCTGTCCACTGGGATTTCTCAGTTTGAAGAGCAGACCATCTTGCCATTTCACAATCTGCTCTTAGAAACTCCTGTTTCACAAGTCGATGTCCCTGTCATACTGGGAGATGGAGGATAGATGCTTAAAGAAACAAAATCCAACTTTAATGCATGAAACTAGTTGGGTATTTCTTTGAATTCTTTGTGTGGGTATTTTGCACAATATTTCTGTTCCTATATAGTCAAAAACCTGAAAAAATCTCGAATCTTTTTCAGTGGAGAAAAATAAAACATCCAAAGAAATCCTGTTAGAAAGAAACATTAAAGAAAACAGGCATATCTTACATTCTCTTTTGAGTAAGAGAAATAATATTTGACTGGATCAGCATCCTAAATTGTTAAGAAGGCCTTCTGATTCTGACAGCATTTTGTTTGCTTTCTTTCTTTTTATTAAACTTAAATCAGCATCTAGTTTCCTCATGGATGCCTTCTACATTTTCACCTCCATAAATGTTGCTATTTAGTAAGGCTCAGTGCCTTTCTCTGTTTTCCTCTATTGATGCTGCTTGTCACACAGCAAAATCAGCATTATGCAACAGCAGAATGGAGCTCTAAAGCATTGAGCTGTGTGATTTCCTTGTGTGTTGTTGAAGAAAGAAATTAAATACAAAGCAGAAGACTCCAAGGTTTAAACTCTGGTAACCTAATAGGAATGCTCTTTTGAACTATCCCTCATCGGTTATGTGGGAGAAATATCAATTCTGAATTTCTATATGGTAGCAAAGCAAATGACACATGAATTACTGACCTGATGAGACAAATGCTACAAATCTGCACCACGTAAAATTATCTTCTTTTTCCCTTTTTCCTTTAATGAAACACTTGATTTTTGGCTTAAAAGGCTACCAGCAATACAAAAATGGTTGCCTACAGACAACAACTTTAGTATAATTTGCCATAAATTCATGTAGATAACAACACACTTCATCCATAAAGAAAAACATTGAAAAGATTGAGACATAATCTGTCAAGGTCAGACGCCAGCCAATTAAAGAAGTATAGTTTATTGTTCAAACAAACACAAAACAGCCCAAAACAAAACCACAGGGCAAAAAACACTTAGTCTTCAGTGTGAAACAGTTCAAAAAGGCAAAAGAACCCACAAAACCTCAACCAGAATATAACCTGGATTATCCAGAGATGTAATCCGGATTAAACTCAAAATGCTTTAATTCAGCTCAAACTTGCTCCATCAAACAACAGAAGCAAAACAAACTGTAGAATGATGTTCACAGCCACTCTAGTGAGCAGCAGCCTTTCAAGGGTTGCAAAATGTAACCCGAGCCTCAAACACTGTAGGAAACGCCACGCTGAACTCTGAGGCTGGAATGCAGGAATGCAGGGAGGATGATAAGGCCAACTCCAGAAACACAGCCGCAGACATGGAAGGGAGAGTAACACCGATAGTTGAAGTCCAGTCCAGTCCAGTCCGAAGGGAAACGAATAGCTGCAAGGTCAGGTCCCAATCCAATGGAAGTCACAAGGAGCCAAAGCAACGGGGGCAATACGGCAGGTCCCAAAGTCTTCTTCCAAACCCGTCTTCTGTAACACAACGATCCAGAAAGTGCCCAACAAGACACCTTGCTGATTGCCAAGTTACAATTGCAAACACTCCCATTTTATCTACAACTCCTCATCAGAACTTGATTCAGCCAACATCCTTGTCCCATCTGCATCCTGTTGAAACTCCTCATCCGAACTGGAGTCACCCCTAGTTTGGCCCAACCCATCCTCAGCTGTGCCTCTTCCACCACTCCTCCAAGTAGTCCATCTCTGGTCTAATCCTGAAGTTCCCCAAGATCCATCCGTGCCATCGCTACTCCAACCTTCTAACATGCCACTGCTTGTGGGTTCAACACAAATATCCTGAATCTCTTGAACCCTTGTCCAATCCAACCCATCAGACCCAGAGTCTGATATCCCATCATCCATATCATTTGCATCAAAACCTTCAAAAGAATCCTCATCTGTTGGCTCACTAAGTATCTCCCGGATACTTTTCCTCTGTTGCTCTTCAGCATAGTCTTGCTCATGAGTAGTTTTCCTGCCTCTCCTAATACAACTAGTGTTACTATCATTGCCAGTAGACTCTATCACAACATAAACCACTAAGGCAGGGGTCCTCAAACTTTTTAAACAGAGGGCCAGGTCACAGT